TATATATATACACACATACATATACACACATATACTCATATATGCATACATTATATACACACTATATATATACCCATATACACATACACGTTATATTTATATACACACATATACACACACATTTTATATACACATATGTACATGCACATTATATTTATACACAGGCATTATATATATATACACATTATAGACACACATCATATTTATACACACACATACAGATTATATTTATATACACACATACACACATATATCTATACACATATATAAATGTACACACATGCACACATATACACACACATGCACATATATGTACATATATACACACACATACACATACATGTTATATTTATATAGACATTTTATATACACACATTATATCATCTATACATATACACACATACATATATCTATACACATATATAAATGTACACACATGCACACATATACACACACATGCACATATATGTACATATATACACACACATATACACATACATGTTATATTTATATACACATTTTATATACACACATTATATATATACACACATATTTATATACACACATATCTATACACATAAATATACACACATATACACACATGCACACATATACACACACACGCACATATATGTACATATATATACACATACACATACATGTTATATTTATATACATGCACATTTTATATACACACACATTATATACACACATTATATTTATACACACATACACACATATTTATATACACACATATCTATACACATAAATATACACACATAAATATACACACACGCACACATATACACACACATTATATATATACACACATTATATACACACTATATATACGCACACTATATATACACACATATACACATACACATTATATTTGTATACACACACACATACACACTCATTTTATATACACATATGTACACACGCATATATATACACTTACACATTGTATTTATACACACATTATATTTATACACACACACACATTATATTTATATGCACACATTTGTATACACACATTATATACACACATATTTATACACACACATACATGTTATATTTATATACACATATTTATATACACACATTATATACACACATATTTATACACACACATATATACACATATATATACACACATTATATTTATATACACATTATATATACACACACATTTATATACACACACACATACATACATTCACATTATATATATACACCTATACACATATACACACGTGTACACACATATCTATACACATATAAATATACACACACACACACACACGCGTACACACATACATATCTAATTGCAGTAAGAAGCCATGGGTTTCAAGCTGACACAAATCGTTGCTGTTCAGTTGAACTGAAGTGGCCCAGAGGCCCGGGGTCCCCGTTCTCGCTGGGTCTGGCAGGTCCAGGGCTCGTGTCCCCTCTCCCCGTCGCTGACCGCCATCACTGCGTCCCCCCGCAGGCTGCCAGCGTCCCCGTGGTGTTCGACGAGCACCACCTCAGCGAGGTGCAGAACATGGCCTCGGAGGAGAAGCTGGACCAGGTGGTTGACTCCATGAAGGAAAGCAAAGTGGCCCTTATAGGTGAGATGTGCGCTCTGTGGGCAGGGGGGCTCAGCTCTGCACACGGGAGGTGCTGCCGTATCCCGAACACCAGTGGGTGCTTTCGGAGGGCAGGAATTTCTGTGGGCAGGACCTGGAGGTGGAAACACTTTAAGTTCAGCAGCAAATTCCCGCAGTGCTCACGGGCTGTGTCCTTACTCCTGCTCACATCCCGCAGGCAAAATCCACACCCCCATGGAGTACAAGGGAGAGCTGGCGTCCTACGACATGAGGCTCAGGTGAGCACGGTCCTGTGCTCTGCTGCTGCGGCTGGGCGCCGAAAAGTGTCGTGGTCATGGTGTTCTGCCACTGAACCGGGGAACTGGTGTGGGGTTGGGATTGGTGTGGGGTTGGGATTGGTGTGGGGTTGGGATTGTGTGGTGTTGGGATTGGTGTGGGGTTGGGGGATTGGTGTGGGATTGGGGTTGTGTGGGGTTGGGATTGGTGTGGGGTTGGGATTGGTGTGGGGTTGGGGAATTAATGTGGGTTTGGGGGATTAATGTGGGTTTGGGGGATTAATGTGGTTTTGGGGGATTGGTGTGGGACTGGGAAGGAAAAACCCCGAGGGGCTTTGGGCTGGAGCTGCTGCTGTTGAGTGCCCCTGCTGCTGAATTCCCGGGGTCCTGGAGCTGGGGGGTCACTGAAGCCGTGCTGTGACTGACTCGTGATCCATGAGGGGACACGTGGATGGACAGACAGACAGACCAGTAGCTATGGGCAGGCGTCTCGGGGTAGGGAGCTGTTCCCCACAGGGAGCAGTGGCCGTCCCCGAAACAGCCCACGATGGTGTCACTGACCGTGCCGCTGCTCCCCCGCAGGCGCAAGCTGGACCTGTTCGCCAACGTCGTGCACGTCAAAAAAAAGCTTGCCCGGCTACAAAACGCGCCACAACAACCTGGACCTGGTGATCATCCGCGAGCAGACCGAGGGGGAGTACAGCTCCCTGGAACACGAGGTGCGGGGACCTCCTCCCAGACCCCGGGGGGGGTAACGGCAGAAAAGGGGGATGTGGGTGGCATCCTGGTCTCTGTCTTGTGATGCTGGGTGGTGTGGCAGGTGCTGGGTGCCCTGGTGTGGGGCTGGGTGCCCTGGTGTGGTGCTGGGTAATGGGGCTGGGTGCCCTGGTTCAGTGCTGGGTGCCCTGGAGTGATGCTGGGTGCCCTGGTCTGGTACTGGGTGCCCTGGTGTGGTGCTGGGTAATGGGGCTGGGTGCCCTGGTCTGGTGCTGGGTGCCCTGGAGTGGTAATGGGTGCCCCGGAGTGGCGCTGGGTGCCC